GTTTTATAAGAACAAAGTGTTTATAACTAATTGTTTATGACACTGTGCAAATGCTGCAGACTCTTTTGGCGGGAGTAACTATGACTCTCTTAGTTACTAACTGGGCTCGAATCGGCTGTGTCACCTCCTCGTGGTCCCGCCGGATACCCCTAACGGGGGAACCAAGTGCACAGCTGTCCCAGCAGTGATTGTGGCGACTTTTAGTTGCCCTCGCCCTGTCGATGGCTCCTTTCGAGCTTCGGCAGTAAAGGGGGGGCCAATTGGCAGTCAAACCCGCATCTCAGCCCCCCCTCAACGCCATTGCCCAATGGCGATTATAATAATTCGGGCGTGGTGGCGGTCCTGACGACCGTCACCGACGTGGCTCTGGCCTGCCCGGGGAACAGGTCAACCACAACTTACCGGACGTGACACGGCTTGCCGACTGCATGAGCGGGGTCCGGCTTTGCTTGTCTTACCCCGTCGGCTACGCGAGCGCTTGATGGCCAGGGGAGACCTATCCAGTGGTTCCCTCCTGAGCCAGCGTCTGCGCTCTCCCGGGCGTTGCTTTAGGGCATGGGCCCTGTGAGGTCCTCTGGCCTCGCGTGAGGTAGCAGGACCAAGTGGTGGCAGCCTACCGCCTGACCTAGCTCGGTAGATCAGGCTTGCCGATATAAACCTTTAGTTCACTAAAGCAGAGTAAAATTCTTCACATAGACGGTGAGTCTGCTCAGTCTTCCGGAACCGCTGGACCTCTGTCTATGCTTTACCCTGGTTGTGAGCTGGAGGGACGTTGGTGGCGATTGGCACATCTGTGGGGCATAAAATCGGGCAGCCTAATGTACCATCGGCTGTACCAAGCCCCTAAATCCGGCACTTCCATCTAGACGCAGATGTGGCCTTCGTTCTCCAGATGACCTTCACTGGCTTTGACGTGGGTGGACGGGCCGCCTCCCAAATTTAACTCGGAAAAGGAGCCCCATCGTGGGGTTCGATAAATATATAGTAATACAGTGGTTTGCAATTGTGTGACAGTTTGTATAACACCATCTAGTGTAACTCACTAGATTATACTCTTATTTCCTTGCTAGTTTTTTGTCAAGTGTTGGAAAACTTTTTTCTAATAGTAGCTGATATGTTAGAGAATATATTGACACAGTGAAAGGAGGAGAAATGAATAAATAGAATGGAAGGACAAAGAAGTGAAGTGGCTCAGAGGTGATCTCCTGAGGTCTTGCCCAGGCTCTTTCTCTGCGCTAGCCTGTGCCCTGGGTATCAGGAAGGTTGCTAATGAGCTTGCTCCCCTAACCACTGCACAGAGGAATGGTAGCAGCATGTGGCTGTATGCTTTCACTGGTAGTGACAGAATTGATGGGAATCAGAAAAGTGGTTACTCTGGTGTTCTGGAAGATGAAAACTGGGGCACAGGGTGGTAGAGGAGAGAGGGAACTGCAGCATACAGAGTGGCTTTCTTGTTTACGGGCAGGGAAACCAGGTGAGCACTGAACCTGAGTTTCCCTTTCCTCTATAGAGGTGTCTCCTTTAGCATGGCTGGAGCACACTGGTGAAGCAGCGCAGACGACTTGTCCTGTTGCCATTGTCGTGCTTCTCCCACAGATAAAAGGAACGCTTTGGACTTCAGGTCTGACAGCCTTTTTATTTATCATTAAAACTCCTTTCAGATGTTAAGACTGGAAGACGTATACTTCTTGATACATTTTATATAATGCCTTAATATTTAGTATGTTTATATGTACTATATGTCTTTCATGCGCTCTTTTCAAGAGGGCAGGGTACCTAAACCTTGTCTGCTTCTGTGCCGCCACTAGTAGGAATAGTAACAGCAACTCATGATCATGATATCAACATCTCATAACTTCTCAAACCAGCATCTCAGTTTCATATACTCCATCGTGTTTCCCCCAGATTAAGAGTCCGGTGGCACTTGGCCTAACCCACGTTAAGACTTCAATCTCAGCTTCCTACTTAGCTAATTCTAGCATGATGTCCGGAGATATCTTTCCCTGGATATCCCTTCAGTAAGGTAGGATCTTGGTCTTATACCCAAAGTGACCCTGGTCCCATCTCTCTGAAGTCACATGGCTACTTTAAATTCCCCTTTCTTCTTTCTCTACCTTGCTGCTGCCTCAGTTCACTGCTGTGACACAGCTTCAGAGGGATAGTTCTCCTATATCTACACTCCATGACATAGCTCTGCTCAAGTTTTGGCTTGACTTTGCAGAACAAAATAAAATGCCAGTTGTGTTGACGTTGTCTGTAATAGCAGAGCTCAAGTGTGGAGAGATACTTTACAGGTAGGCAATAAAATTAAATCTAAAAAGGAGCAATTTAACAGCTTTGCTTTCTAGGCATAATAACTAGCTTTGTATATTGATTTTAATTACAAAGCCTAAAAAGGTAGGAAATCCTTAATTAAGTTACTTAAATGAAAGTGTGTGTTATTTTAATTGTTTTCATTGAACTAGAGTCAAAGATAAAAATAATAATCCTGGACAATGCAAGAAGGGAAAATAAAGCTCTTATACTTAATGAAATATTAAACCAAACGAAAATTCTTTGAAAATCATTCGATCTGTAAGTTAATGAGGAAAATCACTATTATTAGTTTTCAGTTGTTCCTTTCGAGTGAAAAAAGGAGGGACTTGATGCAATTGCCTGTGGAATAGACATCTCGTGCTACTTAAGATGCTCTAGATGCTGCTTTAGAAAGACATGGATCTCCTGCAGTGATTGCGTTACCTCTGCCATCTGCATGGGGATATGATGGACAGACTGGGACATCTCCAGTACAACTAGACTTCTGTGTTTCGGCAGCTGAATTGAGCTCATAATGTCCTTACTGGCCATTTTTTAACAGCTTTAATGATCTTGGATGTATTACAAAAATATCACCTAGCTGATAGAGCAAATGTATTTGCTAAAACATACGACTTCTGTTTAACTAATATTCCTTTATATTGTGAGAATGGAATAAATGAGAATGACAAAACACCGAACCAGCCACCACAGGCAAAACAGTTGAAAGAAGTGTCTCCCAGAACAGCTCGATAAGGGGATTGCTTGTTCAGCCAGGACTAGAATTTCCATGGATTTTCATAGTCTCTAAGAAAATTCTATGAAAATACACACAGGTATCTGTTTGGTGTTGCCAGGTGATGGACAAGGGTTCATGCTGTGGAGTAGACAGCATCTGTAAGGTAAAGGTCCTCTGCAAATTTAGATTACCTCCACAAATGTGTTTCTTAAACATTGGCATTCTCTTGTGAATCCCTTGCTCTGTCTGTAGCATCTGGTTTAACTTTAAGAATGTTATGCTCAGTCTTTTAATATGCCTGTGGGTAAATTTGAACTTCCCAGACCAAACCTAAATCTTGTTCTTCATTGCTTGTTATATAGCCAATCTCAACACTGGTATTTTTATTCATAACTGTATTTTCACTGTGTGGTGTAGTGTTCCCTTTGATAAAACTCTTCTATATACATTACCGTACTTGACAGAAAGTAATCTGTGGCATTACGTAGGGTCTGCTGTGATTGAGTCCTTCATGTGCTATGAACTCTATATCTTCTGGTTTTCCTGAGTCAGCTGTCCTCCTGGGACAGAGTGACAAAGAAGGAGATTTTACTATGATAAAACATTTATTTCAAGTTAATGATGATTATTGGAGATTAGAATGTGGGAGAGGTGGATGGAAGAGGAGGGAAACATACTGTTTCATCTCTTACTTATTACGAGTTTGGAGAAAGTGAGGGTGAGATCCTAGCGTTAATTTCTTGTTGAAGAAACTTTTGTGGAACCTCAGCCTTGTGCTAACTCTGCGTGGTAGTGTATCATCTTCCTCTGAATAGCAGTGGCCTTAGAAAACTCCAGCAATACTTCCTGGACTTCCCTTGGTGGGATTTTTGGTGGGGCTGGGGAGTGGGCAAATGAGGAAAAAAAAAAAATGGAGCCCACAATTAAGTAAACTTTTGTATTGGCCATACAGAAGAAAAGGTGGAAAAGAGGGTGTAGAAGGTTTGCTTCAATTCGGCTCTAATTTCATTAATGTAAATGGAACTATGTGAAAATTTAGCACACATTAGATATAATGCAGAACTGCTGTCAGTACTTCACCTCTGAATGACATTTCAGTTCACTGCTGCCATTTCCTCTGATGCTTCCTCCTAACAGAATGATGCAGGCTAAGCTAAAAATGGGTTATTTTCTCACTATACCAGGCTCCAGAACTGCCCGTTGCTCAGTTTTTTATTAGGGGAAGAAAATCTTGCTAATTCTTGTATGTCAGGAAGCTCTTTCTTCTCTGAAGGTGTGCGCTGAATATTGAGAACCTGCTAAGTAGTGACAATCTGAGTTGTACATAACCTCTTTAATCAGTTCCCTGTTTTGCTACTTAGGAAAGTAAATGTCTGTCCAGTAGCTCAATAGCTACAGTTACACAGGAAACCTACTTCTATTCTCATCACAGGTCTGGGACAATTGGTGCTACTGAGCTGGTGTGAAGGACAGGCATATCTGCAGAGATGATGTGCACACGTATAAAACAAACTTTTCATATCCTGTGCCATGAGGAAATGATGATCTAACTGGCCCTTTCTGGTCAGCCATCCAACAAGGGTTACAGTTCAGCTACTGCCTAATTGACCTGGAAACGGAGAAAGCATTTACAAGTACATAACGCAGGCACAGTGTTTTTCTAACGTAGATTTGGTAAACCACTAAAAATCCTGCAAACACATCAGATTAATTTGAAAAATTGTTATACCTTAAAATAAAAGTTTTATCTTAGCATAATCAACATTTTTTCTGGCTTTTGTTTGCAGTCCTTTTGAAATTTTATGGAATATATATGGGAAATATTTGTGCATATAAATAATGTCTGCAGTATCTATTATCTTTATGTTATTTTACTGGTCAGCTAAAGAAAAACTATTTTGCATTTCCTCTTGAATTTTTGCTTCCTTGGTATTTGATTTTATCGTTGATTTTTGTTTTTGTTCAGAACTATTATGGAGCTGCCAAAATGATTCTTTCTGACAATCCCCTTGGCCTCACATGTGGAATGGTGTGTCCAACTTCTGATCTTTGTGTTGGTGGGTGCAATTTATATGCCACTGAAGAGGGACCGATTAATATTGGTGGATTGCAGCAGTTTGCTACTGAGGTAGGTAAGACTTGCACGTGGCTGAAATTCTTTGTGTATGTACCAACTAGTATTGTCTAAGTGGTTGCATTTGTTAATGATCTGTTCAAAAAGGTTGGTGATGCTAAAATAAAAGTGTGGAAAGTCAAAATAATTACCTCTTTTCTTACACTACATTCAGAAGCTTAGAAATGCTTTCATAATGGAATAGTTTATAGGAACATATGGCAAATTACTTGTGAACAAGATGACTCTTCACAAACACTTGTGGTTGAGACAATTTGTTGTAAATGAAAAGTTGATGTAAGCCAGATGAAAACATGGAAGTTACTGAAGTATGTTACACAGAAAAAAACTAAGTGCACCTGCTTTTGTAACTGCACATTAGGGAGATGCAGAACTGTTCTGGGTGTAGGGTAGTTCCTGTAGCAGAATATTTAACTTGTTCTCTCTTTGAACCCTGCTTGCTGTGAAGCTGTGCCCTCTGCAAGAATTCAAAGTCTGGAACAGGCTTTCTACAAACATTGTGGTAAAGGGAGACCTAGTGTCTCATACCAAATGGATGGTTGGAAGATTATATTAATTACTTTCCAGGAATACTTGGTGCTTTCTCATCTTCTTTTTTAAATCCCTCATTTTGTTTTAATTATTGCTTATGGATGAACTGTTTAGATGCCTTTCTGTTTTAAAAGGTGGGGTTTTTTTTTTAAGTAGCAAAGAATCTATTTCAGTATTTGAAGATAATTTCCTCCTGAGCACAGTGTGGTCTAGCACTTCTGAATTTTGGTGCATGAAAAACTTCACACACAATTTAGTGCATGCTTTTGAAAAGTCATAGAGAGAAGGAATCAATTCACATTTTACCCCGAATGTGTTATTTTCAAAAGAAGATATTATAAGATCTGCGATCAATAATAAAAAGAAGTGGCCATGCCCAAATGTTAACTTCACTGATCTCTCAGGAAGGAAAATTTATTTGCATTTAATAATTTAAGATGCTACTAGTAGTAGAGGAGAAATGTGTCATTTATTTGTTCCTAATATATAATATGTAATGTAAGCTTATAATTATGTATTAATGTATGACAGTTTCCAAATCTATTCTCTTGTCTTTCCTCAATCTGTGATTTCCAACATAAAACCTGAGAAGCTGCACGGCCAGTGTGCGTTTGTGTTGCAATGAAATGAAGGTGTTACACTTTAGACCTTACCTGAGCCAAATAATAATTTAGTGAATAATAAATTTGTTGAGCAATGCTGATTCAGGCAGTTCAGACTATTTCTGTGACTACTTCCAAACCTTGAAAATGGGCAACACTTTCCAAACAAGCTATTTTGCCTTTCCATTTTCAAGCAACTGTTTCAATTTCTTCTTCATTTTTGTAAAGGCTAAAGTAATTCTTGTATGGATTGGCCCATTTTGCTTTGGGGCAAAGCAGAAGTTTCAGATGATTCAGACTTTTTTGCTATTCTATTTTGCCAAAAACAAATAATTTCAGGTTGACCTTAAATATATGTCTGTACAGATCATCTAGATAGATATAGAAGCATGCACATGTTCATATGTGCAAATTTGTCAGTTCATAAAAGTAGATGTGCATATATATACACATATATACATATACACTCTTCATTTTGGCCATGGAAGCAAGAAGGTTCATTACTTGCCTAGATTGATGTTAGGATGTTTTCTGAAGGGTGTTTGATGTGCGCATGTGGGTTACTTATGACTGTACAGATTCAGTGCTCAAGATTTCAGTCTGCAGAAAAAAGACACCGCTGCTAATTTGTTAACTTCCTTTGTGGGTGTGGAGAAGTTGTACGGTCTCAGTCAGATTGTACAAATTGTACAGATTCACAATCTCAACTGGCACCTCTTCTGATCTATCTGAAATATCTTTAGGTAAAATTTGTGTTCTTGGTCTTTGCACAAGTGAGGCAGGTGTGGCTGTGTATAAAAGCATGTATTAAGATTGCACATTTCTGTACAATCCATAGCTAATGACATGTCCTAGTTCTGTATCTTGAGCCATTTGGCAGATCATGTTTACAAACATGACATGAAATTCCAGTCACCTTTTCAAAACCTGAGAATAAAGCTTTGTAGGACAGACAAAAATAAGAGATTCGAACCAATCTGGAAGTAACAGATGATACGTCTGTAAGTCCAGATTTTTCCTCTGCTGTCATTCATAGACTTCACACCCCCTTTTTCGGTGTCCATGGATTATGACTCCATGAGCAAACATTGCTACCTGCTGTGGTGCTTCTCCTCTTCTTCAGTTTGTACACCTCCTTTCTTCTTTCCAGGAGACTTGCAAAGCTTCTGTAGTACCTGCTTAACTTAACTGCTTCTGAACCTTCTCTCTCCTTTACCGTTTAAATAGCCACTTCAATTTTCCTGAGATTTGAGCGTGCAAGAGTGGAATCGGTTTGGACCAGAGTTCTCGTTTATAGGGCTAGGCCAGAGACACCAAACTGTATTTGTTCCACCTGTATTTTGAATAGTTGGGTTTTGTCAAATGAGACAATCTTGTCAGCTCTTCTTCTCATGACCTTTATTCCTTATATGTAAACGCTTAATATTTGCTGAAGGGGAAAAACTTACTAAAAAAAAAAATTAAACAACTGTCAAGTAGATGAAAAATGTTAGTGAAATATTGTTGTTTAGAAACCAAATGCAAGTAATATCTGTTAAAACTTGATTTGTGTCTCCTTTTAGCGTTAGTGCTATGATTAATAGGGAGGAATTATGGCTTGATAGATATTGCTAAATATCTGCCATTTTTCTTCAAAAATCTTTAGAAATCTATTGAAGCTCAGTGCTAGCACAATGATTGATACTAAAACTGTAGCACAGGATGAAAAGCTCAGAATGGCTTTCCTCGCAATGTTTTAAGTTTGTTTAAAGTGATATATTAGTGTCCACAGTTCTAAGAAAATTAAAATTGTTACATGGATGTATTCAGCACTAACAAAAAAATTTCAGTAAATTTTATCCTTACTATTTTTATAGTATCCTAAAATATATTTTTTAAAATTAGTTGTTAATAACCTTTAGATTTGCTGCCATTTCACAAAGAACTTGTATGTATTGTGGTATTTATAATTAGCAATAATACTCACTTTTGTAATTTTTTTTTTTTAAGCTTTCGTTCAGTTAATTTTTACTATGAAAGGCAAAAGACCTGTTTGGTAACTGACTTGTAGAGATCTTGGAAGTAATGTATATGGTATGTATAGCTGAAAGACATAAAACAGAATTAGTGTTTCCATGTAACAATTATTATAAAAATATTAATTAAGATACTGGAAAAAAAAGTTACTACTGCAATACAAAAATTGGACCAGATACTGTAGGCAAAATGTGTCCAGAGCTTTACCTATATAAGTAACTTAGCAAATTGTTTGATTTAGCTGTGCAACATGTGTTACTGTTAATGAGAGCTGCATGGTAATTCTCATGCACTGTATAATAGTTTGTCCCACGGGGGCTTATTTACTGAAAACTCCATTGTGCATAAAGCCAATTTTAGTTTTTTTTTTTTCCCATGGAATTAGTCTGAGGATCATACACTTGACGCATTACAAGGGAGAGCAGTAATAAAAAGGCACAACTGCTAGCTGAGATAAAAGATATAATTGCAGTAAAGCAGAAATGTGGGTTTAAAATGGAAAATATATGGGTGTGACGTGTGCCCCTTTGTGTTTCTGAACAATGACTGATCATCTGTTCATACTGCAGATAAAACTCCTAATTGTAAAATATTTGTCTTGCATACGGTAGAACACAAAACACGGCACTGCACACCTCCTACATTTTCCTTCTGCCCGTCTATGCAGCTTTGTAACTATATTAGCCTCATCTGCAAAATAAATTGTAATCCAATCGGGGAAAAAAATATGGATTTTGACAATTACTGTTCAAATGGAATAAAAGGAAGTGTCCATTTGTATTTGTGATGTAGAATGTGTATGCTGGGATGCAGTTACCACGGTAACTGTTGCGTCTAGAGAATAACATGGAGTAAAAGCTCACTGTTATAAATGATGAGTGTCAAGTGTAGGTTACACCTGCTGCTGCACAGGTCAAAATTATATTAATGTCTTTGTCTCCTTTGCTCAAGTAGTTTAAAATCAGGAAACATCTCTGTTTTTCAAGATTGCAAGTTCAGTGAAACTATACTGAGATTATAGTGACGATACATGCAGTGATGAGCTATATGCCTGTCAGTTCCACAGAATGTACTGAAATTGGTAGTTACTCAAATACAAGTTTGTACGCTTGGAGTAAAGAAGAACTGTGATTTGTTACATTGTCTGTTGTGGTATTAGTAGGAAGCCCTCAAAATCTTACATTTCTGCATAGATATTACTGAGTTTAAAGGGTTTGTAGTGTTTTCAGTTAATCATTCTGAACGAAGCAGCATAAGCTAAATGCAAAATGTATTATTTTAATCTGTGTGTGCTAGAAGGAGATACTAGATCATTTAGTACTGTGACTCTCGTGCCGTTTCTGGTGCCTTGTTCCTCTCTGGAGATGTGTTCTGACTGTTATAGCAGAAAGCAACTGGAAAAGGAAACTTGATACGTTTTTTTTTCCTAGCAGATGCACTGTATGAGCTTGCTTGCTGTTTACCTGGTGGCATCTCATCTCATCTCAGCAGCGAAGCTGGGAGGTGGGCTGTGTCGAGGCCTGCTGGAGGAGGGTGGCCCCACTGAGTAATGACCCGCTTTCTCAGGGTGAAGAAGCCACATGGCTTCCCCCTGAGGGAAGGCTTCAGAGAGGTATTCTGATGCCTCGGGCTCAGGGTCTTTCTGTTGTGTATTGTCACTTTTAACTGGTCTCACGGGCAAGATGGTTCCCAGGGAGCCACAGCTCCTGACATCTGTCTGCTTCAGGTGCTGCTGTGAGGTCACCCTGCATTGGGGATGTCACAAGGCCTTGCCGTGGTTATCCCGTTCCCTGGATGCTGACCCTGGCAGCGCCAGCACGGAGGGGCATACTGCTGCCCATCAGT